ATAAGTTGAAAGTTGTTTTAAAGTTGAAAGTTGTTTTAAAGTTGAATCCCTTAGTACTGTGTGGGCGACATGGAAATAGTCGATCCATGTCATGGTTGAATGACCAATTTGAGTAAGGTATCTAGTTAGAGATGCAGTCTTTGACTAGATACTGGAGGGTGCGTGGTACTTGGAGGACAGTGGGTGGGCTAACTCCACATGTGGATTGGTGAAGCTAGCCAAGGCCGTGGTAGGCTCATACCCAAACCCTTCTGTCCTGACAGTAGTACTGGACCTCCGAGTCTAAGTGGCACACCTGAGAAATCAACTATTGTTGTCTATACCTGGTTCTCTTCGGAGTTCCTAAAGCTGTTCTATACCTGACTTGGTGGAGATAGGTCAAACGCTGGATTCGGTAGGGTTTATGCCACCTAGACTGCTCAACCTCAGTTGTTGGAGATCTCCCAGTTGTATATGCGTGACGACGCATTAAATATTAAGTTGTATATGGTTGTTGTTGTTGTTGTATTAAAGTTGCTTCTAAGTTGTATGAATGAGTTGTGTTTTTATGTTGAATTGTATGATCGTTTGTGATGATGATTGTTATGCATTTATTGCATGATTGTTAATATGTTGAAGTGTGTGGTGTCTTGCTTCATGTTTGATTTTGAACTCTAGCTTACCCTTCTGTTTCCATGTGGTGGAACTGCGATGATCATACTTGGTATGAGAGCAGGTCAGGGCTAGCTTGGAGTTGAGGTGACCGCTGCTAGACGGGAAGTTTTGATCCTCATGTTAGAGTTGCCACCTTGGGTAGCAGTTTTGTGCTTGACCGGCACTAGGAGATAGTAGTTTTGGATAACTGTATAAATACCTAATACTTAAAAAAACTTAATGATATATATATCTTTGTTTATGTTTTGTATTTATAAGTTATCCAATTTTATTATTTATCTTAGTCCACTATTTTTAGTGCGATTCCACTAAGTGTAGGGATCACGGCGGGTCGTTACAAACACTATGCCAATGGTCACGCCACCTCAAGGTCGTGCCACTCTAGACATAAGTGATATGTATTAATTGTCTCACTCATCCCACACTATGCCAGGGGCATGCCATCCCTGTAGCATCACTTACCCAGGGTCGTCTCATCCCTGGTCATATCTGTGAGGAACCACAATCACATCACAATCACAATCATCACAAATCTTACTATGTCAAGGTCACTCTAGCTTTTAGCCTAGGGTCGTGCTCACCCCTGACATAACATTGTGCCAAGGTCACGCTACCCTTTTAGCAGCCTAGGGCCGTGCTCACCCTGACATAACACTGTACCAAGGTCACGCTACCTTTTTAACAGTCTAGGGCTGTGCTCACTCCTGGTCATCAGTATGAGGATCCACAATCACATCTCATTCACATTTCACACATCTCATTTCATAACTCAAATTCCATATTACATATAGATAAGTCCACACAATATAATGATTCACATACCCATCAAGCAATTCACCATGAATACACATCTATAAGAATAATATAACAATAATATTTATAAATTAATATAAAACCCAATTAATTCACCAATTTAATACAATATTAAATCAAATAGTAAAACTCCCAATTTTTTCAAAAACCTAACTCACAGGCACTTTTCTACAATTTCTTTCTCTCTCTCAGATTATCATTCTTACAAATTAAATATATATTTCTAATCCTCAACACATACAGAATCTAATGGGATCATCAATTATTCAAATAGAAATAATTATAAAATTACCCATAATTCTAAGGGACTCTTTCTCTACCCAATCTCCTCATGTAACTCTACATATAAATCTCCCCTTTTCCCTCGTACCTGGATAAACAGTAGTTGAGAAACTAAAATAGAGATCTCCTTGGTCTCCTCCTCTGAGTGCCCCTCGGTCTTTAGAGAGTGTAGAAGGAAAAGAAGAGAATGTAGAAGAAAGGAGTCAGAACTGAAAGAAGTCAGAACTGAAAGATGTGCCTTTTGGGAGTGCCAGAGCTCTCTATTTATAGGTATCAGGCGTCGCCAGAACGACCCGTTTCAAATCTAGAACGGCCCTTTCTGGACTCTGACGACATGTGTAAAATTCACATCCAGAACAACCTGTTCTTAAACCAGAATGGCCCGTTCTGGGGTTGCACTTAACCCACAACGGCCATATCTGGAACGACCCATTCTCAATTAGGGTTATAAGCATTTTTGGTGATTTGGAACGCCCCGTTCCCATATAAAATTTGTAGACAATTTTTTTGTATTTTGAAACGACCCGTTCTGAACTATAAAAACCAGTGTTTTAAAACCCGGACCGACCCGGCCGGTCGGACCGAGAACCGATGGTCCAGCCGGTTCGAATTTGAAGTTGGATCGGTTATGCAATCGACCCGTTTCAAACCGGATTGAACCGGTCAATTTTCCGGTTCAACCGGTGAACCTGTGGGTCAAACCGGTTCAACCACTTTTTTTTTTTATAATTTTTTTTAAATTTTTTTAAGGGACCATAAATCACAAAAATAATAATGAAAATTGAATCTCTTAATGAAAAAGCAAGGAGTCTTATTAAATATAACAATGACTACTTGTTCTAATATATTTGTTTGCAATATATACAACTTAAATAACTTTTATAGTATATTATTAATTTTAAATTATATATTTAATAATGCAATATCTATGTAAATATTACATATATTATTTTCTGATATTAATTGCAAGCATATTATATATGTACATATTATTTATATTTTTAATTTGTATTAATATACCGTTTAACATGTAATTTTTTTATGTATTTTTTTACAAAATAAAAATAAAAATAATTTTAAATAATATAGAAAAATTGAAATTTAAAATAAGATATGAATTTATTAAAATTTATAAGTATAAAATATATTTAATATAAATATTTTTTAATAAAAATCGAGTCATGCGGTTCAACTAGTGACCCACCGGTTCAACCTTTGACGCACTGACCCAGTACCTTAACCGGTTCGATGACCGGTCCGGTTTTTAAAACTATGATAAAAACACTCTCATTTTAGTAGTTTGGAACGGCCCGTTCCAATTTGGGAACGACCCGTTCTGAGCTACTAAATTACCTTCTTTTGGGCTTTTGGGCCCTCAAAGAATATGTGAAAATCGGGCTGTTACACAATCCATTTTATATCTTCATTTTGTAGAATTTTATAGAATTATCAATGTATCTTACAAATTAATTATAGTTTTAATAAACTAATATTATCATTAGAATATTCACCATCAAAACATAATATTAAGTCTCTTGATTATCTCTTAATCATGCTAATTAATCTTAATTTAATTAGTTAGAGTTTTCTTACATGTCATAATTTGATTGATCGAAATTTATATTTTACTTTTGCTTAGTTACATAATTTTATTAATTATTATAAAATACTACAATTAAGATAAAATTCTATATATCATATTGAACATTTTTTTCTATAATTTTCTTAACTTAATATTTTAGCAAAATAAATTTTCTAATTTAAATTCTAATTTAATTTTTAATTATTTATTACTATTATAATAATAATAATAATTATTATTATTTTTTGTAAATTCAAATTTGGAGTTTTTCTCTTATAATTGTGTTTATTCTTAATCTATTCTCAATAAACTATCGTTTAGGTTACAAATTTCTCAAATTTTCTTAAATCTAGTTATTCAAATTTTTACGCCGTATTCACAACGTTGTCCGAAAATAGTCGAATTTTCTCATAATTGTGTTTCATCATTGAAATTTGTTCAAGACACTTTATATCTTGTTTTAATTTTATACATTATTTTATTGTGTTTTGAATAAAATTGTTTAGAAGAATGGTGAACCCTTTTACTAAATATTAATGTTTAAGAAATTATTATTATAAAATGTAGTTGACTTTAAATTATTATATTATTTATTTAATTATTGAAGTAGAAGAATATCACATGTATCAACGATGAAAATATTATAAAGGTTTTGATTCTTTTGAAAATCAAAATCATTTCAATGTGTAACTATTTTTACACATCTTTTGACTACCAATATATTATCATAAACAAACTCATGCATTTTTCAAACAAAAATATTAAGACTTAAACATTTTAATAAATTCAACCGCACTTTTATATTTTATTTCTTCCAATATGTCACAATTGTCTGCTATTAGATTTTTAATGCATTTATCTATACTTTTCCTATATAGCATATAATTAAGGATAGATGTTCAATTATTTTAAATTATGAGAAAATTTAATTGGACGATAAATATTTAATTTTCTAGCCCAATGTTATTAGGTTTAATATAAATTAAATTATGAATGTTTAAAAAAAAATCTTAAATATTGATTGTAATTCAATTTCTAAATTAAACTTAATAAAAAATGTACTTCACTATATCAAATTAACACAAATATTTGAAAGTTTCGGTTAATAAAATAAATGTAAAGAAAAAAATCAAGTATCGAAGTAAAGAACATAAATAAAGAACACATCAATTTTTTTTTTTTATAAAAAAAGGTAAGTTAACAAAAGAACAAAATACGTGTATTTTAAATATTATTTTATATATTAAAATAAAGTGATATTAAACTATCAAATAATTTTAAAATTATTTACTACTTTATCTATTTAATCTAATTAGTAATATTATTAAATATAATAGTTGAATTTATTAAATTAATATTTAAAAAAGTTATTAAAAAATATTATTTCACTATTCACACTGTAATGTTAATAGAACTACCCGTGTGTATATATACTCTTTTTTTTTAATCATGTGAAGACTCGAACTCGTAATAAAGGATTTAGAACAACTCGAAATTCATGTACCCTTATTCAACTAATTGATATATATTTCTTAGTTCACCGTTACTAAATTAACACAAAGATTTACGTAGCTAAAGAAATAATTAAATTTAATAGAAAATAAAAGCAAAAAAACTAAATTAAAAAAAGGACTAAATTAAAAAAAGAGAAGATTTTATATTTTTATTTTTTGGGGGAGTGGGTATCAAACGAAGAGGAGCATTTGAAGTGAGTGAGTCGCTCTAACTAAAACCCTAACGAACCCTGCGGAGGAAAACGTCGTAATTTCCGCCATGGCCATTCTTCTCCGTCTCCGAGGCAGGACCAGGACCAGAACCAGAACCAGAACCGAACCTTCTCCGACCCTCTTCTTCTCCACAAATTCCAACTCCGGTTCAAACTCTAACTCTCCTTTCTCTTCCCTCTTCAAAGACATCAAGGCCGGTCTCAAAAACCCCCAAACCTCAAACCCTAATTTCTCCCTCCGCGCTCCCCACGCCGCCTCCACCCACGAGATCCAAAAGAATCTCGCCGAGTTCCGCTCCCGCACCGCCGCGCCTCCGCCCTCCGGCACGCCGCCGCCGCAGGTCTCGTTCCAGGAGCTCTACAATGACCGCCTCCAAAACCCCTCCAAATCGCGACCCGCCAACATGGACGGCATTTTCCAGAGCCTGAAGAGCATCAAGGCCAAAACCCCCACCACGCCGCGCCTCATCGGCGGCACGGCGGCGCTGCCGGAGTCCGTCTTCGGGAGGGAGATGAGGAGAGATTCCTCGGCGACGACGACGGCGACGACGGCAACGGCGTTCTTGAAGACCTACGGCGTGGAGGATTTGGGGAAGAAATTGAGGATGCTGAGGCCTGAGGGAAAGGGCAAGGATTGGTTTTCCGTTAGGGAATTGAGTGAGAGGTTGGTGAGGTTGAGGAAGATGGAGGAGGAACAAACGCGTTCCACTACTCGAGATGTTGTGGGTGATTCGGGTATATATGATGCGTTGCGAGGGTGTCTTACTGACATGGATCAAGACAAAGTTGACAACAATAAGAAAGCTTCACGTCGGTAACTAGTTCAGTTAATTACATTAGACCTGTTTGGATAAATGTTTCTAGAAGCACTTCTGGGAGGAAAAAATAGAAAGAAAAAATGAGATGAGTTTCTTCATAAGAAGTTAAATTATGCATATGTTAGTTTTGTAGAAGTTCTTTCATATATCTTCTCCAAAAAAAATTATAAATTAGCTTATGCATTAGCTAATTTTAGCTCATGGAAAAGTTTATTTTTATTTCATCCTTCTATTCTTTTAGTAATGCCTCTGCAGAAGTTTATCCAAATAGGTCCATTGCACATTGTTCTTTTATTTGATAACATGTCACTTACGCCGTGGATTTTCCAGTGCAGGGACTTAGTATATTGAGCCACTTTGGTGGGACTCCAATATACTCTCTTGAGCCCCCTAAACCCCATCTTGTTGAAAAGGTAATTGTTATATGTGCTTTGCTTTTATTTCTGTGGCTTGATATCATCTAGTATTTTGTTGTGTTGATTAGTTTGATGTGCTGATGTTGTTGTGTTTGTCCCAGTATTTTCATCCAGATAATATGTCCTCTGCTGAGAAGTTGAAAATTGAGCTTGCCAAGGTTAGAGATGAGTTTAAAATGTCGGAGTCGGATTGTGGCTCTGCTCGTGTTCAGAGTAAGGGGAATTATTTATTAGCTGATTTTTGTTGTGTTTGATGAGTAGGATTTGGAAGGAAGGAAATAGGTCTACTTTACTTATCTGCATTCCTTCTCTGAACCAACGTGTGTGACACTTGTTGCTATATATAGGTGTTGGTGAAATTTGAGGTCATAATTTTTATTGTATGTTGCCTATGTTTGTGACAATTTTACTAGGCACTTGTTAGGGTATTAATACCATCCCATTGATTTTATGCAGTTGCAACACTCACAACTAAGATTAAGCATTTATCTGCCGTTCTACACAAGAAGGTGAGTTGCCCCTTTGTCATTTTTCTTTAACTTGTGTTTGCGATCCATGACTAGAAAACTAATCAATAGGAGATTTATATGATTAGCTATCTCATGTGTAGATATTATCGGATATTGGCTCCTTTGTTAGTTTGTTTGTGAATTGTGGAGGACCTTTTAATTCTGGCATTTACTTGCAAATCTTGTTTGAAGGTGCTCTTCCAATTTGCTTTTTGCTAGTGTTTGTATATTGTAGGAGTTATTAAAGAAAATTAAAAACAATTTTCTGGCTACGGGATAGGGTAATTGAATTTGTTCTTTTATTATGAAGGAGCGGATTTTGAAAAGTTGCCATCAAGTATCTGTAATTTTATTACACTCTACTGTTTCACTGTTCAATAAGTCATTGTCATGGGATCATATAAGTAGTGTTGCTGAGGAGAACACACCCACCCTTAGTTGAATGTTCTGTTATTTAAGTTAGAACTTAGACTTGTACTTTGTATTTTATATTTTTTCTAACCAGTGATTTGACTCGACTTTGTCTGGCTTGGAGCATTATTTGGTATTTTATGTTCAGTCATAGGTAAAAGCAGATGATTTGAGGTTAATTTGCATCCGTATTATTTTTATTCAGATGTTGAAAGTTGTAATTTTCTGTATCGACCTAGTGTTTCACTTGTTTTACATGGTGGACAATTTGATTTTTAGCTTCATTTGATCCCTAGTGTAGAGCAAATATATTGAATGTTGTTATGACTTCTCTTCACAAAATCTTGAATATGTCTATGGATAGAAGTTTGAGTTGGTGACTGCATACTGTGCTCATTCACAGACTATGTTCTTTGTTTTATCTTGCTACTATATATGTTTTTTCATTTGTTTTACACGTACTGCAGATATTGCCCTTATCATCAGTCCATATTTACTTTGTGAACTTAACCGATCAGATTTGTTCCATGCAGTGTGATCCTGTCATCTTTATGTTGGGTCCATTGAATCCACAAGTTAATGTATATATAGACTAGGTATATATATGGTGAAAATCTGGACAGCATCACTATTTTCTCTCTGATTCAATTCATTCTATGGTGCTTTAGGATGTTCATTCTCGTAAAGGTCTTATAGCAATGGTTCAGAGGAGAAAAAGATTACTGAAATACCTGAGAAGAACTGATTGGGATTCGTATTGTTTTGTTATCTCCAAGCTGGGTCTACGTGATAATCCTGATCATACTTATAGAGCAAGATCTGGTACGGCGGCATAGGGTCCCATATTTTGGTGTAAACAAATCGGAAAAAGAAAATGAGCTGCTTCATTCAAAGCTTGCTGCGTTCTGCAGATTTTAAAATCCTATCTGCAGAAGAAATACCGGTTTTAACAGCCAAGATCCGCATATCAACTTCTCAAGAAATGCGATATTCTATTTTTCTTTTTCTGTACGAGTAGATATTTCGGTCAGCCCATTTTAATTATTTTTTTTACCAGGCCTCGGGTTGAATTATGGCAAATGTTTTAATTCCCCATACATTGTTTCTTTTATGTTTCTGCTTGTCTTGAATAATATATCAAGGATCATACCTCGAAAAACCTGAATCTAAAGCAGAGATATCTTGAGAATAATTCTTATTCAATATTTCAGAAAAATAAATTGGGCTCGTATATAGCCATTACAAGAAGCAGTAAATCAAAATGCTACCCACGTTGTACCAATCCTAATAACATGATAGATAAAAATCTTATCTAATACACGTTGAAAAAATCACGTTAAATTATACAGAAGTTAAAACTTTTTGCTTCTATATTAACAAGCATAAATAGTGTACTTTTTTTAAAACATCTCTGAGGGCATGTTCAATGGAAGCAATTCACTTGAGTTGTTTTATGCATTGAAAAATGAAAAAAATAATTCTCATTGTGTTATGTCAGTATTAAGCAATTCAAACAGAAATTTATTTCAATAATAAGAAATTTTAAGAAATTCAACTTTTAAATTTTTTTTTCTAATCATTTATGAACTAAATTTAAATTTTTATTAAAAAAGTAATTGCACTATAATAAAAAAAAATAAATTATGAGAAAAATATATAATAAGTAGATATTAAAAATAAAATAAAGTAATAGTAAATACATAAACATTATTTAAATTGGGTTGGAGTTATTTTATTTATTTATTTATTATATTTTTATTTTTATTTTTTATTTATTTCTTTAACTTCAACGTTTTCTTCTTCCAACGGTGCCTTTTCATTTTTTTTCAAACCATTCTTTTTCTTCCGTTCCTCCTTCGACGCTGCCTCCGCCGCGCGCGCCAAGTCCAGGCCGAGGCTCGCAAAGCTCAGGAAGCAGTCCACATCGCAGCAAGCCAACGGTGGCAGAATGTCCATCACCATCAACGACGGCGTTGTCGGCTCCGGCTTCAATCCGTTTCGCTCCGATCAGGTCTCGCGGCAGAACGTCCAACCGTGCGCCTCCGCCATCCAACCACCGCCTCACCACCGCGCCTCCTTCCGTTCACAAAGGTAAGGAACGGTTGCTTCACTAAGCAACCCTCTCTCTTCTGCAAGAAACTCTTGCTGCCACGTCACTCCCCTCCAATGGTAAGAAACTGAGGTTGGGGTTGCTTGATGGACCAAGCAACTCCCATTAGAGTTGCTCTAAAGTTCATCTTGGTTGTTAAATTTATAGCGCCTCTCAGATGTCCATGTTTCTATTTAAGGACAAACTTCGGTAGGTAAGTTTAAAATGAATTAAAAGGCATTGTTAAATTTTTTCTTGCATTTATTTTTTCTATTTGAACTACTTGTCATTTATATCTTATATATAAACAATTTTTTTTATATAATTTTTTGAATTGTTTTAACTTTAAATTTTTAAGTAATAAAAAAATAATATTTAAATTTAACTATTTTTACAAATCAAAGTCTTGAAGCTAAGATCTTGAAGTTAAAGGATTAAACATAATATCAGTTAATTTAACAAATGATAGTAATTCTTAAAACATTTTTATATGAAATCTCTTGATTTCATTAATAAGCTAAAATCATTATAAATAATTAATACGATGATTAGTTTAATCTTCTAAACGTTTAAAGTGACATTCAAACAAAAGTGTTATACATAATAAAAGCTTTCGTGCTGATGGGTGCATAAACTCGCTATAAAAATTAAAACAAATCTGTAAGAGTGATTTTTTAAATTTGAATGACTATATTAAATACTTGAAATGAAAATTTTGTTATTTATGTCGTAATTAATTTGAATAATTTTTTTAAATAAAAGATATTTATAAAATAAAAAACTACTATAAAATTTTATTTCCAATACAATGAATCAAACATAAGTTTAATTTTCATTATATCCATATCTTCTATTTTTTAAAACACACACAATAACTTATCGATATATAATAGAAGAATAAAGATTCGCTGATACTTTCACTTTAATTGAAACACAGAGATTAAAAAAAAAAGAGAAGAAAAATATAAAATTATAAGAAATAAGAAATTGTATAAACAAAAAGGACAAAGAAAATATTATTAATAAGGTTTTAAGAATAACAAGGTATTCAGACTTTTCATTTCTTATACAAATTTATCTAATGAGTTTGGACTGCACTAGCTCCACGAGGCTCTTGGGCAGGAGGCAGTTCCACAAGTGTCAACTTTTAATGCTTCCGTGTGGGAAGCTTAGTAGCTTACCATTTATACTAGTACCAGTACGATAAGAGTGAAGAAGAAGAATTCCCAAATTGGATTTGGGAAAAGAAACTAGGCTGATAGCAATGGCAGCTTCTACAGCGACCACGGTATGCGTAACTGGTGCGGGAGGCTTTGTAGCGTCTTGGCTCGTTAAGCTTCTTCTCTCCAAAGGTTACATTGTCCATGGAACAATAAGACAACCTGGTACCTTTCCATTTCCTCATTCACTCTCTCTCTTTCTTCGGATCGAATTCAATTCAAGTGTGTGTCTGAGCAGGTTCCCAGAAATATGAACACTTGCTGAAACTCGAGAGAGCTTCTGAGAACCTCACACTCTTCAAGGCAGATCTCTTGAATTACGAATCTCTTGGCTCTGCAATTCTCGGATGCACTGCAGTTTTCCATGTTGCTAGCCCTGTACCCTCAATAGTCGTACCCGACCCTCAGGTTACCCATCTATTTCTCCATTTGCTAAAATAATAAATAAACAAATTCCCCTTTTTTGGTTACTTTCTATTTTTTATAAATATAAACATTTATTTGATATGTTTACGTGGCTCTCCTTTTGCTTTCATCCCGACAAGACTTCTTCTACTAGTTGAAGGATGTCGCATTCTAAATGAGTTTAGTTTTATGTTTTTTTTACACAATCAATTAATAAAAAATCTCAGAATTATGGTAAAATTCACGGATGACTTGATACTAAGATAATTATTTTAAAAATAAATAAATTTATTATACATGTTAATTTGTGATAAATTGATAGAATAAAACTCTTTACACTCTAGTATAATATAAATATTATTAAAGTAATATTTGACCAATACTTATTATATCATATTATACTAGTTTTTGATCGATAGTTTTAAGTTATTCTCATGATTATGTTTATGAAGAAAAAAAATATATTTACTCATTTAGAAAAAGGTCATTTAATGAATGTCATGCTCTGTGTGTTAAATTTCATTGAATGGCACGATCGAAACCATTTTCTTTTAACCGTGGCGCAAGTAATGATTCGTTTATTATTTTTTTATTTTTTATTTTTTATCCTGAAATAGAGTTCCTATCTTAAGTGATGGAGTGAATTTGTCTTCCAAAACTCATTAAATCAAAGGAAATGCCATGGAGTTAATATTATGTTTATGGTCTTATTTATCTAATTTCAGTCCTAGGTATTGGTTGGCTTCCGTAATAAGAATTTAGGAGCATGTAATGTGTACAATTGGTGCCATAGTTTTACTTTTTGGATCGCTCGTATATTATTATACATATATATGATTCTGCAGGTAGAAGTGATTGAGCCTGCTGTGAAAGGAACCACTAATGTACTTGAAGCTTGCCTTGAAGCTAAAGTGCAACGAGTTATCCTTGTATCTTCTGCAGGTGCTGTTTGCATAAACCCGAATTTGCCTAAAGATAAAGTGATTGATGAGTCCTATTGGTCTGATAAAGATTACTGCAGAAGAACTAAGGTCTTTAAATTTATTAAATGTGCATTTATGATGTCGATTAGTCATTAGTCTTATTCTATGATGTTGGCTATACTAACTTTATTTCAAATTGTTCAGTTGCAAAACATGCCAACTGCCAAGTTTCAATCGTCAAGAATGTTTGTTTTATTGTAACTAATATTTCACGTATGATCCAGAACTGGTACTGTTTTTCCAAGACAGAGGCAGAGGAGCATGCCCTAGAATTTGGAAAAAGAAGTGGGCTTGATGTGGTAAGAATTTGTCCTACCCTTGTGTTGGGGCCGATTTTACAGTCAACCACTGTCAATGCAAGTAGCTTGGTTCTGCTCAAACTTTTAAAAGGTGCCGAGTGCCTACTATTGCCTTATCAAATTATTCTTATTGCAATACACCAATTTATTAACTGTGCAATGGTAGATCAAATGCTTTATTGCTTTACGGGTTTACGTGATAATCACATATCTTCCACAACATACTTGGTCATGTGTAAGTGGTGTAAAATTTTTGGTGTGAAGAACTCATTCTAAGTTTGGCCTTAGCAATGGCTGACACGTGTTGAGTCTAGTCAACAGGATTATGCCCTTCATGGGGATTTTGCACTGTGTCACTAGCTTTCTGGCCCCAATACTTTAAAAGTGATGCCAAATATTTTATTTGATTTCCAGTTAAGTATAACATAGTTATCAAATAAAAAAAAAATTAATGTTATCGGGCTTCTTTTTCTGGTTTATCTGAAATTGAAGGTTGTGATTCAATGGAGAATAAGATTCGTTGGATAATCGATGTACGGGATCTAGTTGATGCAATACTTTTGATTTATGAGAAGCGTGAGGCAGAAGGAAGATACGTATGCAGTTCATATACCATCAAGACACGAGATTTGGTGGAGAAACTAAAGAGTATATATCCCAACTACAAGTATCCTGCAAAGTAAGATTCAGTTCCCCTTGATCTATAATTCAAATTTTTTGTCATGAGCCAAGTATCTTGTCTCTTATTTTGGATTTGATGCACCTGTGTAGTGATCTAATTGATGACCCCATGCCCCACCTTGTTGTGTTTGGCCTGAATTGTTAAATTAAATGTTATTATTGTTAATTTCTTATTTAATGTTATATCCAAATCTTGTAGTTAGTATTGCTTATGTATGAGATATGCAAAGATATGTGAAAGATGCAAGATATTTATTTTTAATAGAAAACTAAAAGACAAATGATAGCGACACATTCTTTTTATCATATTATCTACTATTGGATGAAATTTATGTGGAATCACTAAATGATTGTGTGTACTGCTCCTTGTTTAGTAGGTTTACATGAATTTCACCCATAGCATTTTTCAAACTAAAAAATCTAATTAATTACTCCCTCGGATCCATTTTGTTTGACGTCTAAAAGGTTTTGGCATGGAACTTAAGAAATACAATTAATATGTTAGATTTCATAAAATAAATTATGTGAGTTTTCAATATACTTTTAAATTTTTTGAATTCTCACTAATAATTAAAGAATAAGAATACATTAATAATGATTAAGGATATAATGAGGAAAACATATTTAATGTTATAATTAAATTGAAACAGACAGAAAATACTAAGACATCAACCAAAATGGAACGGAGGGAGTAATTAGCTGTGCATGTATAGTAGGTTACTTGTTAAGCCATTTATTGTGAGCATAAGTACTTGTTTTGTCAATTTGTTTGAACTATGAGAAACAGGGAGAAAAATTTGCTGGTAATGTCGCGACAGTGAAAGGTTTGCAACTTTATCCACAAAAGTTTGAAAGGTTTGTTATTTTGTTGTAAAAAACTGCATTGGGAGAAGGTTTGCAGCTTTTCACTCCAAAAGTTGAATTGTAGTGTTTACAAATTCTTAATTTTTATCCTTAGATGTAGGTATGATGGGAACTATATTAAATTTGTATGATTTTATGATGCTTTCATTGATTACTATTATAATTTATGCAAGCGCACGTAGACGGGGATGAGGTGTTACCCCTAAGACAACTGCTTATATATATTTGATAGCTACATGCATAATTATAAGTTTGGTTGCTGACAGCTTTACTGAGGTGGATGATTACGTAAGTTTCAGCACAGAGAAACTGCAAAGGTTGGGTTGGAAATACAGGCCGCTAGAGGAAACACTCGTTGATTCTGTTGAAAGCTATAAGGAGGCTGGGCTCCTGCAATCAGAATGAATGTCACTTTGTTATATATATCAATATCATGTCCCTTACAAAAGGGATTTATGAGTCTGTTTCAGTTGTTACATGTTCTTGTGCTGTTAAAATTGTTACCTATTTACTCTTTTGTAATAATTATAACAAATCATATGAATGATATTTTGTTTTTATCTTTCCGTTAAAATAATGGGTTCTTTAATTAACTTACATGATTTCCTTTCCACTTTTCTTTTGTACACAAGTATCTTCAAAATTGTGCTCGAGTTTAAAATTCTATTTTTATTTTTTTGAGTATTTAACGTTGTATACTTAAATATTGTTGTCATCATTGTACAACTGTTATTGATGTTATTGATGTTCTTGATTATCGCCACCATTGGTATCTCCTCTTTTCTTGTCTCTTGTCTCCACAGCACCAAGTATGATCAAATTAAGTATACTATAGTTTAAATTTAAATTTAATTAGTATTTTAGTATGATTAATATATGTTTATTATATATCATATATTATATCATGTTTATTCTATATGATATACTTCAAATTTATAATAAATTATATATAAAAATACTATATTTTAAATATAAAAATTATATTTAAAATAAGTATACATAAATTTTGATTTATAATAAATAACTTGTATTATAAACATTAATATTTAATCAATAAATAATTATAATAAATAAATATAAAATTATATAATAAGTTAAAAAATTCCTACAAATCTTCTGATTGAAAAAAAAAGTCTCTAAAAATATTCTCACACAAAATAGAAGTTTGTGTTTAATATATAAAAACTGATACTAAAATTTCAAAATCAAGAACCATCAAAAGTTGAAACGAAAAAATTATTTATAAAACATAAATTAATTTTAATTTTAAAATTTCAAAACTTAAAATGTGAATCGATATCATATTAAAGAGGATTATAACATTTTCTTTTAAATAGAAAAGAAATGTAAGAAACAGTCAAACTCTGTTTGGAAATTTTAAACACTAATTCGTATGATTATTTTCTACACTCTGTTGACTGAGTTTAAAATTTTATACAAAATATATCGAATAAATTTTCTAAATTTTAGGGTCTTATTTATTAGTAGCACCATTCCAATTATTGGGTACCTAATAACTTTTCCTTCTTTGGTTTGTTTCAATTATATTAAAGTCTATATAAATTATCTCTTACAAAATATTTAAAATTTATCATTATTAATATTTTTAATTCTCTTTAGTGGAAATACTAAGAGTAGAATATAATGTACTTCGAGTTTTAAAACAACAAAAGCATTTTTTTCTCTCTCTCTATAGAATAACAAATATGTATAAGGAAGAAATTAAATAATTTCTTCCCAACATTAATGTTACAGGCCTCAACTTTTTCCTTGTAATATGTAAAAACAACACAAATAAAAAAACCACACAACACACTTGCACACAACTTGCAGCTATCATAAGAATGCTATTAAGCTATTTTAACAACACATTTTCACGGTACATACTTTTCTTTTTATCCATCACATGATTATCTTCTCTTCTCTCGTGTTGTAAAATGTATTATTAAAATGACATTACTTTTAATGCCACAAAGAATTCTCACTGCCAAACAACAAAGTATCCACATTTCACATTGAGTTTCCTCTGCTTCATATCATCAATAAGCACCAACATCAGAAGGTGTAACTATTGTTCTCAATGATGGCCTTGAAAACTCCACCCAAGCAATAAAATCACCACTCACCAACCAACAATTCTTCAAATTCAACTCTTTCAATGCCCTGCAGTTTTCTACTACTTGCTTCACACCCTTTGGTGTAACATGCCAACAACTCTGGATGTTCAAAAGTAGTAGTCCACTACATCTCCTTGAGATTATTGAGAGTGCTTCATCCTCAATTCTTGACCCTGACAAGTTCAACACCTCAAGTTGAGATACTTCAAAGTCAATCTCAAACACTTCCATTCCTGTATAGGCCAGGTTCAAATGCCTTATCTCACAGCATCTCTTTAAAACCTTAACAATACATTCACTAGAAACACCCTCACAACCGGTTAAGTCAAGAAGCTGTAAACTAGGGCAAATGGAAGCAAATTTTATCAAACTTGCATCACTCAGCAAAACATTATCACCCAAATAAACTTTTTTGACTTCAAGGTTGACAACAAAATCCTTCATTGAATCTTCTTCCCCTTCCATCCCAAGATATGTCCTCTCCATTTTGATCTCACTGAGCAAAGGACAGTTTCTTGTGAGTATGAAAAATGTTGAATTGGTCAGCTGGCAACAACCACTAAGGTTTATAGAAGTTAAACTAAGAAGAAACATCGATAACTCACTGATACATTGATCAGTTAAAAAATCAATTTTTCGAAGATCCAAGCACTGAACAGATTGGCATTTGGTTAGCACATAAGAGATTCCTGAAAATGTACAATTGCAACAATCTTGGAGAATAAGCTTCTTTAGCATAAGACCACCACCTTCTGCAAACGCAAAGAGAAACTCATCCGAGATAACAGAATTTGACAAATCAATAGCAGTTAACTTTTTCAAACTCCTGAATGAATCGATCAAATCTATGTCAATAGGAGAGGGAGTTAAGGCAGGTCCATGAATTCTTTTCTTTTCAATGTTAAAGGCAATGGAATTCAAACCGGGTCTGAGGCGGATCGCAGAGGCAATACCTAATTGTGTTATCTTAAAACATGTGAAGAATGAGATTTCTTCCAATGATAAACAATTTTGGCATAGAGAGAACAAGGACTTATCAGTGATCAAGTAATTACCAGAAATATTAATCTTGCGAAGATTCTCAAGCAAGGAAGACAGCCTTTGTACCCCAAAATCTGATGCTTGAGAATCCAATGGGAAGCTTATGTCAAGCTCTTCAAGAAATGGGAAAGAATAGGCCATGACTACTAGATGGCTATCGCGAAGAGAACCAATGTTTGAGCAGATCAGAACCCTCAAATTTTGCATCTTTGAACCAAGTTCTCGCAGCCCATCAACAGGAAGTGTTCTCTGGTTGGATAGATTAATCAAATCAAGGTCCAACCCGGATTGTGAAATTTGGTGAAGCAAGCCTTCATGGTGGCCGTTGAAGTGAGTGAAGTCTAAGGTTTTGAGCCTTGGAAACCTCAAGAATAGCCGAGGAAGAAGTGGAATGGTTGGATCATGTATTGCCAGAGAGAATAGAAACCGGTTTGTGATGGACAGAAACTGCTTGCAAACCATAGATAGAGACTCCAAATGAGGACCATGGCCTAGGAATCTGAAGACCAATTCCCAGCATTCTTCAGGAAAATCTTTCACTGACATTTTGGCATCAAGTACTAGAACTTGATGAAATGATTAATGGCTCAATGATTTAACAACAAATCAACCCAATTCAGTGGATGTTTATTTAACAAGTTTAGGATGTGTTGGATTTGGTGGTAAGAATGGCTGATCATGGTGAAGAAATGAAGCTATTGATTGTTGAAGAAGCCTCCTCCTTTTCTTATATTTGACTAGTGCTGGTCCAAATCATGAAGCTCTAGAAAGTCTTTTGCTTGTTAGGTTGGCATATGTTATGGTGATCTGTAATTTTCACTTTTAAGACTTTTACTTTTCATACTGCTTTTTTTCATTCAACAAGAAAGCAAAAAGTAACCTCAGTATCCTAGTTATTTACCATGGCTAACTCCTTCAAAAATCTAAAAGTACTCAAATGGATAGTAACTAGTTCAATATAGTGTGTAAAAGTCTCTTTGAATATAAATTTAGAAATTCTCAAAAACACTTTTAATTTATATTCCAAATTATTGTAAGTTTATGGATATTGAGTTCAATTTTTATAGATAAAAAAAAAGTTGTTCCGTTTTAACAAAATTTTCTCTCTACATACGAGTAAGATTCAATCCTTCACTTGTTTAAGAGATTCAGTCTATTTCCACTTATACCAATCACACTTGTCGGTGACTAATTTGTTCGTGGAACTCTTTAAAGCCACCCACAAAAATTAAATCACCACTCATCGGACATTTCCTATTATGGCATATAGGCTTGTTGCATTATGTTGTGTGAAGAGCTCGTTATTTCTGCACATTACTCTTTTCTTTGCTTTCTTTCTACTTACTATATTGCGGACATGACCATTGATTTAACCACGAAATTTGATGAAAATGCAGCGCACGACTGCCAAAATCATTCATGCTTAGATAGTTATTTAAAATAAAAAAATTGCTATTTGGTGTAACGTAATCACGAAAACAAGATAAACGCGGCCGATGGTGTTTTTATTCATTTTGATGCCATTTAATAATATTGGTCATAAGATATGATCTCGATTTGAATAATGGTCTTGCAAAAAAATAATATTTGTGTATCTATTTATGAGGTGTGAGGTGTGGAGTGCAGGCACACCAGCAACTGGTACAGAAGGATTGGTAAGAACTTTCTCCTTTCTTGACAAGATGCAAAAGAATATTAATTTGTTAGACGAATAGGGCACTTGTAACTAGTTAACTGCATGAAAATTCACGATTATTCTGAATCATTACAATGCATTTGGTATCCACAAAAGAAAAAATAAATAAAGGCATTAGGAATTCTGTTTTTTCTGCAAATTTATACATTTTCCTTACAGCAAATCACGTTCTTAAATGGGAGAAGATTGATATGAAGTTATCAACATACCTCAATTAGCTGAGTCTCATTAAATAACTAAGGTGACTTTTTATTGATTATTTGCATTTATTATTATTATTTTTTGCATTATGAGTATTTAATCGATAATTAATCAATATAGTATTGGTTCAAGTAGAATTGGTCTCAAATTTCCTAAATGAAGTTTCATGTTCAAATTTTATGGATAAAAATATATGATTAAGAAAGAAAATTTTACCAAAAATATCAGTTAAGTTCTTAACAAAAATTAATTATTAACAAAACAGTCAAAACTAATAAAGAGATACTATGCAACAATAATATGGTAACCAAAAATTTGGCATTTGTTTAACAGTGCTTTCCCTTGAACATTTCTAGTAAACTTTCACACGAGACTGATCTAAACACGTGAGTCCATATCATAGTTGATTTTGTTACAAAAGCCTCGTAAAAGTTGTTGATACATCAGAAGCTTCATCTCATCCAATATGATATGTTGTCTAGGGTCTGCTGCCTGCGTTGTCTTCTAGTTTGTTCACATTTGGTCATTTCACCAAACAAATTATTAAAAGTTTTGGTCGTCCCAAAACCAAGGTTGTTAAAACTCACTCATCATTGGTCCAAAAAAGACGATAATATTATGTTGTTTTTGAAAATTGAAAGGACTCATGTAAAACTAAAATAAAAAATGCAGAACAACTGTATTCTAACTTTCAAGGCAGGTCCGCAAAATCTAATATTTTCAATTGCTGCAATATTAAGTTTCAACTTATTTTCCCTCCAAAGTTGCCATTCATTACCATCACTTTGAACAGTGAAACTATTTTCAACAACACAGAAGAATCCAAGTACTATAATTCAAGGCATAGCAAGGAAAAGCAATACAATTCGAAACTGTATACCATATATATAATACAAGTCCAACTGCTTACAACGTATGCTATTCACAGTTAATAATAAAAGATGGATACAACATACAAGCACTATCAAAACTAAAAAAATGCGACCAAGGTACAGAGTTACATAATCAAGCACGAATAAATAAACAAATAGTCAAATTCAAATACAAGAAATGTAGACTGATATATTTTCCACCTTGAGTGCTTCTTTATATTCATCTCCTCATTTATACTACTTTTGAATGTCTCTCTTCTCCCGGCACACCCTTAATGGTGTGAAAGCATCTTCGTTCCTTTGAGAAAACAAAAATATCCTACATTTCATATCTCAAATTAACAAACAAGGCATCCATGTCGCAAGAAGAGTTCTCTCTGGCCATCACTGAGATCAAACCTAGGGGGAGCCATTATCCTTCTCAATGAAGGCCTTGAAAATACCATCCAAGCAACAATACTAGCTTCCACTTCATAACAAGACACCAAACTTATCTCTCTCAATTGCGTGCAATTCTCCACCATTTGCCTCACTCCCTTTGCCGTAACACGAGAGCAATTTTCCAAGTCCAACTGCAGCAGCCAACGACAACATTTTGAGATCACAGAAAGCGCCTCATCATCAATCCCTGACCGTGACAAGTTCAACTCCTCAAGTTTGCGAACTTCAAAGTTCAAACCAGTTAACCTCACTCCTGAACAAAAGGCCAAACTCAAATGCCTTACCTCAGTACACCTCCTTAAAACCTCAACAACACCTTCATATACACCACAACAAGAGCTCAAATCAAGCACCTCCAAACTAGGGAAAACAGAAGCAAACATTTCAACACTCTCATCCCTCAACCACGAATTGTTTCCCAAATATAGAGACTTCACTTGATAATTCACAACACCACTCACCAAAGCATCATCGTCAACCTTCCTTTTACCAACATCTGTAGCCCCCATTCTGACCTCATTCAACAAAGGACAATTCCTAGCAAGTGCCAACAATGCCGAATCAGTCACCATCCTACAACCACTAACATCTATATACACCAAATTACCAAGAAACGCACACAACTCCTCCACACGCTGATCGCACAAAAACTCAGCATTCTGAAGATCCAAATGCTCCACAAACCGACACGTGGACAACAAACACAGCACCCCAACATAACTATAATTACAACAACCTTGCAAAACAAGCTTCCTCAGAGGAATCCCCTCCTCCGCGACACAACATAGCAACTCGTCGGAGATCGAGGAGAACGACAAATCGAGGCAAGTCAACCCCTTTAAGCCCACCAACGCTTCAATGAAATCGGAAGTCACATGGGGTCTAAAAAAGTCCCCTTTTTTGGCCCCGCACCCGAAGTTGCTAACACAGAGAGAACTCACACAAGGCCTTTCACGAATCGCGGAGGCGATGCCACGTTGCGTGATGAAGTGGCACTCGAAGATGACGAGTTCCTCGAGAAATTGGCAGTTTTTGCAGAGGCTGAGAATGGAAGGGTCGTGGATGAAGAAATTACCAGAGAGGTTAACCCTGCGAAGGTTGGGGAGGCCCAAGGAGAGAGCCTCGACGGCGGAGTCGGAGACAGGGTCGGAGGAGTTGTCGGGGAAACTGAGGTCGAGGTGTTCGAGGAAAGGGAAGTAGTCTTTGATGAGGGAGAGATCGGAGTTTGTGAGGGAAGCGATGTGGGAACAGGTGAGGGACTTCAAAGGAGGAGTCTTTTGGGACAAATAACGGAACCCATCGGAGGGAATTGAGGGGTGGGCGGAGAGGCTGAGGGAGCGGAGGGGGAGGGCGGAGCGTGAGAGATGGAGGAGGAGCGCGTGGAGATGCGCGTGGGGGAGGCGCGTGATGTGGAGGGTGGTGAGGGAGGGGAAGCGGAGGAGGAGGCGGGGGAGGGTAGGGCG